GGAGTGCGAGGAAGCCCTGCGAAGGCCCTCCCTAGCCCCAGCAGGCAGGGGTGGGGAGAGGTGGGGAGGAAGCAACTTACCCACCCTCTTCTACTGCCTCCTCCTGGCTGAATGAGGGCCGGAAGCGGGGCGGCTGGAAGCAGGGCTTTGTTGTGTGCTTTGTTGTGTGCCCCGCCCCCCGCACCTCACCCGGGGAAATGGCGATCCCCCGCGATCTGCCCCAAATCGACCTCTGTGTGTTACAATGATATTACAGAATAATAAATTTTGGGTAGAAAACATGGGATAAATCCAAGTCTGAATCAATTTCTGTGCACACACCAGATTATATTGCCATTCGAGCTTGCCGAAGTGTACAGATGGCTGATTTGCCATGACACACCAAAATCTGGGTTGAGAAAATAATATTAGGCCAAGTGGCCAGCAACTGTTAAGGTCATGTAAATCAGTGAAAAAGGAAACAGTTATTAGCTTAAATTAGGGAGGGCTTTCTTCACTTTATGAAATACAGGCATCTGGGATGTACATATATATCAGATTAGAAAGTAATAGTAGCAGAGTCCCTCTTATTATAGTATCCTTGCAATTTTCACGTATTGACTGCAATAGAGGTGGGAAATGACAACCATTCTGCTGACTTGACTAAAACTGTCACTTGCCTTAATCCTCGTTTCAAACGTGCACTAAAAATAGAACAGCGACAGCTGACATTTTTCTTTTAAAAGCCCTTTCCATCTAAATTTAGAAATGTCAGTACTGAATCTCACAGGGATCGTTACACATGCAGCTAGGGTGTCCATAAATAACCACGACATCTCCCCTGGTAACAACACAATAACAGACAGTCTGGATTGCAGGGAATTCAGTGTTCCCTGTCCAGCTGGGATCCTTTCAGCTGTCTGGGCTTAATTTTTAAAGGTAATTTCACCTCGCTGGCCTAGATAAAATTATAAAAAGAGCTGTGAAATGTTTTTGCTGCAGTGATTTTAGCTGTTTATGACGGTGTATCCCTTTTATTATAGTAATATGGCAACTAAATTTTTCCACTGGAACAAAATAATTAGAGACCGAGCATTGATCAAAGGGAATATCCAGAACACAAAAGAGCAATGCCAGTGGGCAGGTGCTCGTTGTCAGTCTTTTGGGCACAGTTTACCCTTTGTTTCTTTGGAGACTTTAGCATTTTTTAAAAAAGTGTATAACAATGTTATTTCTCTTTCTCTCTCTCTCTTCTTCCCTCTGTTGTTACGCTCCTTAGGTGGGAGAGTTCAGAGCTCATGCAGCTGAATGGACAGCCAATGTCACTGCAGAGTTCAAAGAAACACGCAGGCGCCTGAGCGTGGAGATTTACGACAAGTTCCAGCGGGCTACCTCCATCAAAAGGAAGCTCTCTGCAGAAATGGCAGTGAACCACAGCCAGGACCTGACTCCTTGCAAGAGAACCTTGTCTGTCAACCACCTCACCAGCGAGAAAGATATCTTGCCTGCCATCACAAAGACAGACAGCATTTATATGAATGGCTTGACTCCTCACTGTGCAGCGGAAGAAATTGCTGTTATTGAAAATATTAAGTAGCACTGACTTTGAATCCTGATCTTTTAATAAGAAGAAGCCTATGGTTTAGACTTACCTTGTAGTTCCTGATATTTTTTCCTGTTCATAACTGATGCTAATAGCATTTTTTATCACATGCATGAGTTCCAACAGAAACCCACCACAATAAGGATTCAGAGTCACCATCATATTTCTTGAAAGACACAAAATGAATGGCACTCTATCATTGACAAATGCTGGAACAAGCAATGTCTGATGCCTTTTTTGTGCCCAGACTGTTTTTTTCATCTCTCCTAATGTGCCATAAGGCGTAACGAATGAATAATACCGGTTTAGGTTAACTATGTAGCTTTGAGGGATCAGTCCTTAAACTTTTCAGGGTCTACCTTACCAAGCCTAGGAATGGACCATGTATGGACTACAAACTAAATGTAAATGGCAAGAAAATCTTATGCAGCCTTTTACCTAAGAAATTTTTGTCAGTGCCTTATCTTTTAAAGAAACAGAACCTCTATAACTCTCATATGGGTTTTTGTCTGTTGATTGGTTAGTTCTTGCATGAGTAACATATCTCATTTGAGATTTCATCATGCCCAAAACGATGATGTTTTAAGGTGTATAAAGCTGAGGATACCAGCGTTGAAAGAGATGCCAAATCAAAGGACATCAAAGCAACACTCCTAAATCTAGCTTTAAAGGCACTGCAATTATGAAGGTGCGAAAGGTGTCCCCCAGCAAGCATTTCTTTTACTCAGGTGCAGATGATATATGTATACTCTGTAGACCTGTAGAATTTATGGATCCATGTCAGGTATCATTTAAGCTATGGTCTGCGATTCAGCCCCACACATCACATACCAAAAAATCTTCAGTGTTGTGTTGCTAAATTATATAAGCAATAACAAATACTGATAGTAACTTGGTGCGTTCAGAAGATTCATTTACATACCAACAATATAGAACAATTCTGAATCAGCAGCAGCAGAGTGGTTTCTAGTCAATACAATGCTGCTGGCAGAAAGGGATTCTAAAAAAAAAAAATTGTTCTAGCCACATCATGCCATAAGCTATTTTAGCACAGGGATCCTGCCTGCTGGATTGCCTTGTTGAATGTTACAACCTACAATGCTTTTTTCCCCACTCTAGAAGTGGGATTAAAGTGGGAATGCAGCTGAAACTGGCATCACTGTGACTTTCTCCACTGAGAATATAGAAGGTATCTGAACACAAATGCAGACATGAACAACAGTTGACCAATAGCACAATCCGAATATCAATGAATATTTGGATAGAATAGGCTGATATGCAGATCTGAAACCTATCCTGGGGATTTTTTTGGTTGTCTTAAAGAAAAATATTTGATTTTCATTTTAAAGCCTCTTGTGTCTTTGTTTCTCTCTCTCTGTGTGTGCAAGATTCAGAAGGAATGCAGGATTAAAATAATGGAATGGATTATCTTTTTTAAAGTTTTAATTGATTTTAATTCTATTGCAACCTGGCTGTATATAAAATAAATATAACACCCCTTAAAAGATTAATAGCAGCCTGATCCTCAAAGCATAACTATGGTGCAATGCCATTGAAATGACAGGGGCTTGTACCTGCAGAGCTATTTGAGGCTCACATCCTTGACTCTGAGAACATTAAAACAAAATGGGACATTGATTTGACACAATTCAAATAAATCCATATTGTCTGACTATTAAATAACATTACAAACTATGAATGTTAAATTAATGGATGCTTCATCTTTTCTACAAATCTAAGTGATCAGTGTAAATAGCAATCAGTGAAGAGTGAATGAGAGTATACATCTCAAATCAGCAAAGTTCCATTAAATATGGCCAGGCTCTTCAAAGAAAAAGCCCCCATCCCCACCATTTTCCCCAGCACAGTGTTCTGAATGTTGACATGGTAAGAAAGGTCAACTTGCCATGTATAAACTGTGAATTGTAATGAAAATAAGAAAATAATAAAGTTTTTAATTAAAACGTACCTTACCAAGTCTCCTACTTGTTGCCATTATAATGGTGAGAATTCTTTTGTAAAACCAGCACAGTGGAGCTCTGGAATTGGAATTATTTTGTACCAAATTGCAATGGTTAGCAAATAAAATGAACTTGGCAGATTCAATAACATCATGCCCTTTTAGCATCAACTTGTTTCTTCTCAAATTAAACTTAACTATTCTTCTTGCTCCTGCCCCTTTATATTTGTATGTTGTATTAAGCACATTGGCCCCTATCCTGAAAGCTCCTTTAAATATAAAAAAGGCACTATGGAGGCACAACAGACTTTAAATTCCTGTTCCTGAAGATCAGCACCTCCCTCCCAGTGGCTTTATAAGCTACTTTTTAAACTTGGAGGGAGTTTGGATAGCATCGTGATTCAAGACAGAGTGCTGCTATTAAAAGCTCAGCTGCCTCTGCAAAGCACTTCTCTGCTTGCACATTTCATAATGTGGGAAATAGGTGCAATAGAAATTTATCCGAGATATCTAGACATCTATGTGAGAAGGATATTTTTATATGAGGAAACAGTCTGTCATATACAGCCCAGACACAAGTTTCCCTGTTCAGTAGGAACTTATCCTCTGTTATGTTCGAAGCTGGATCTGAACATAACAGGAACAACAGCATGCACCAGGCAGTGTGTCCTTCAGCACTTTGGACAGTACTTAGAGATGTTGCACCAGTGGAGGCTCACTATTCACCCTTTTGCAATATGGGAACAATACAAGGTTGCTGTAAGGAAATGATAATAAATAATATATATAAAGCACTGTGACTACCCAAAAGCACTATAAATGCAAAGTATTGTTTTATTTGAGCTATCAGGCATTCACTTGTGACTCTGGCAGCCTATCAGATGTCTTGTATTGCATACTGGTGAGGCTAGGATTATAGCCCAAGAATTTTCGTAGAGAGGAGGAGTTGCTAGTCCATGTTAAGTAAACAGGTACAATCCCCAGTGAAACTGAAGAGGAGGTCAAGGTATGCAATATCAGATTGGCATGTCACACTGTGGAAGTGAAACCTAATTTCCTAGCAGCTGCATCCTGGACTGGTACAGGGACAGGGTCATCACCATCATCTTCATCAATGAAAAGACATCTAGCATCAATGATCCTTTTCCAGGGCTGGTGCAATGGGTCTTCTCTTTTAGCCAAATGGTATGGAACTCATCCAAAATATCTGGACAATTAGAAAGATGAGACGTTTCTTTAGATAGCATTCTGTTGACTCTGCAGTATGTATACATTACAAATTCTGAGCCATTGTTTTAGGACATTCATTCTGGCTATTCCCCCACATTGGAATCTGGGCATGGATATTCAGCCCTAACGTCAATAATGCTTCAACTTTCCAGTGCAGTGGTCACTGGAAATACTCAGGTGCATTCATAATTGCCTAGAAACTACAAGTGTGCTAGTCCTTTTGTACTGATGCAGCCCTCCCAGGAGACAAGGGCTGGGGTTCAGCAAGGTAGGTTACAGGCAAGGTTTCAAAGAGTAACTAGGGTCCAGTCCAAAAGCCAGGAGTTCCAGAGAGTAGGTATGCCAAGTCCAGTCTAGGGTCAAGGGATCCAGGCAGCAAGTCCAAATCCAGTCCAGGGTCAGTGGTACCACAAAAGCTAATAATCAGGTCCAGTCCAAGGGTCAAGGTTCCAGTGGTCCAGTAGCAGCAAGGTCAGTGGTTCAGTAGCAATATGTACTTGCTGCATCCACAAAACTGCTGCTTCTCCTGGTTGATTTTATAGCCAAGTCTTAATGAGCTACACTCCCAGCCAATTCCTTGGCAGTCATCCTGAAACTACTCATCTATCTCATCAGTTGACAGCTGACAATGGGCCATGAATCTCACACGCCTCCTCCTTTCCTGCAACTCAGCTTGCCATTGACAGTGTCGGTGCTGCAAGGGTATGGGTAGGCTGGGAGTGGTTTCAGAGCTACAAGGTGTTTACTGCTTCAGAGCTACAAGGTGTTGGCTTGGTTTCAGCTGTAAGCTGTGACTTATGGTTAACTGACTTCTTGTTGCTCTCCTCCTGGCTCAGAGCCAGCTGCAGCCAGTTGTTCAATTACTGGCTGAGGGCTGGCTTCAGTCAACTCTTCATCTGAGGAATCTGTGCCACCACTGAGCACAAACTGACGTACAACGCCTTTTCTCACCCTTCACAGAATAGCCAGGTCATAAGTGAAAGAAGTAGCAGTAGGTATGATGGAAGATCCAGAAGGTGGCTCACATATGTGTCAGTATGGACACTATTGTATCCATGGGCAAAAATTTGGCATACTTGGAGAACTGTACACTTGTCCTAGAGTAGCGGTAACTTTAGTGATAATTGCATATTCATGTACACTCCACTACTAAAGAGTGTAGAGACTATAGTGTAGGGACTTTTCTGGCTTCATTAGGTAGGTAGGAGGAGCCAATATAGGTCACTGTAGAGAAGAATGCCAGTTAAATGGATCTTGAGGAGCTAGAAAGAGAAGGAATCCCCTTGGATTAATTGTTTATATTTTCCATACTTCCAGCAGTATTTTAGTCATAGACTTTCAAAGGTAATTGATTAGATTCAATGCATATTGTAATAAAGAACAGTTAGCAATAAAGTATAGGAAAGTAAAATCACAGCATTTATTAAAAGTCACATTGCATGAATGCAAAGTGTATAGAAATTCAGTTGACAAGATTTCTAGCTTTTCTTGTTTTGCTTCATGTTCTCAGATGTTGATAGATTAAATAGGCTATGTTGCACAAGATTGGCTCATTGCACATTGGGATAAACTTTGTCCCTTATTTCATAGCACCCATAGGGACACCCACAAAACTCTACGGTATCTGAGAGCTGGGATTCTGCACAGTCCATAGGCCACTTCCACCAACAGATCACCTAACTCTTCATCAGGACTGCTAAGATTACCCTGTTCTTTTGGAAGGTACATGGCTGCTGGTTGCACCTGTGTATTATTGGCAAGTGTTGGGGCATGGAGATATAGAGTGGAATTCAATTTCATATCAGAAGGTGCACAATAATTAAGTGAGGCAAAGTGATGGATTGTGACTCCTTGCCTCGCCCACTTGTGCAAAGATGCTTCTTGGTCATCAGTTGATAGCTGTCTAGTGCATCTTATTTTCCAGTTTTTAGTTCAATTTGATACAGATTTTGGCAGATTTATAAATGCTGCTCAGATATTTTGTCCAGAAATTATTGCAGTTCCTAAATGTCCTCCCACAACTGTTTTCCAGTGTCTGAAAGAGCTGAAATATGTTTTGTGCTTGTAATGTGTGAACTGACTACTTATGAGAAAAGCTCATTTCACTGCATTTTGTAAAAAGCAAACAGAATTACATGCTACACATCTTTGAAACTCTGGAATCAACACAACCTGCCTCTAGTCCTTCCAGTTTGGTGTAGTGGTTAGGAGCACAGACTCTAATCTGGGAGAACTGGGTTTGATTCCCCACTTCTCCACATAAAGCTGCTGGTGTGACCTTGGGTCAGTTAGAAGTTCTTTCAGAGCTGTTCTCTTACAAGCAGTTCTCAAAAGAGCTCTCTCAGCCCCACCTAACTCACAGGATGTCTGTTGTGGGGGGGGGGAAGGGAAAGGAAATTGTAAGCCACTCTGAGACTCCTTCAGATAGTGAAGGGTGGGGTATAAATCCAATCTCCTCCTGCTGCTATATTATAGCTATTCATGGCATCCAGAGGTTCAGAAGCTTTAGTTCATCTTTATATACAGATACATGTTTACAGTCATTCTGATGATTAGCCTTGACAACAGCAGGACATTCCTGAAAGTGATTCATTTTGCTAACCCAAATGTCAATTAATTAATAAAACATGTATAGTCTCAAGGCAATTTACAAGGTACAATAAACCCCTGAGTAACCCCTCCCCTAAATGCCTGCAGCTTGTTTGAGCTAGTCCTGGTGAATGAGAATGTTTAACATTAACCTCTACTTAGTTCTTATGTGCATACATTAAACTAAATCACATGTTATCAGCAGAGATTAATAATATTTTCCAGTGGGTGAACTGCAGACTCAAATTACTTTTCTAATTATAAATTAGAATGGTAGTCATGGCTTCATTTTAATTACTGATACTTAGACATTTCTAAATAGAAAGTCTGAAAAGAGTTTCCAAATATGCAGAAGGCTTAGCACAAAAATGGAGGTTTATCTGTCTGTCTGCCTGTCTAACTACAACAGCAAATATACACAATAAGATAAAACAATTAGAACACAATCTACACAATATTTTATACAAAAAACCCGCTATACAGCAGCAAATAGTACATAAGAGAGCAATAAAGGACAGTCAGTAAGTAACCCCAGAGAACTTTCAGTATGTATGCCCATTGATGGAGCCAGGTATTGGGCAGGTGACAGAGAGCAGTGAATATTTATTATTAAGTTTTGTATTTACATCCCACCACCCACCCTGTGAGCAGGCTCAGGGTGGTTAACATCATGCTACAATAAATAAAATTAAAATTTAAAACACAGTATGGCTGCGGTCACACGGAGCATTAGGCACGCTAGAGAGACGGAAGATAGGTGGATTTTCCAGGCGCGATCTCACCGCCACATCTGGGAAGCGTAGAGCTCCCGTGGCTCACCCGAGGCTTCACTCCGAAGATGCGTGGTAAAAAACTAGTACCTCGGATGTAGTAGTTTCTGGATCGCGTTTCCGGTGGAATCCCATGGCATCTGGCGCCCGCCCATGTCCCCTCGCAAAAAGGTTTTTTTTCTCCCAAGTGTCCTCGGGATGCGCACAAGCACCCAACGGGACATGCGCACACGTCGGTGTACAGAAAAAACCCCACCCGTTTGCCATGCCGCACCGCTTCTTTGCCATGCCACAGGATTGTGGTGTGAT